CTCGATCGTTGCAAGATACCCCTGCAAATGGGCCAACATCTGTAGACGAGACACTTGCGGCCATCTGCAATCAGGAACTCACCGCCTTTCTCAGCCGCCTCGGGGCATCTGGGGGCATCTGGGAACTGAAGGGCGTCCTGGACTTGGCCCGGAAGGCAGTTGCGACAAGTGAGGTCCGAGACTTATAGTACAGAGTATATACGTAACAAAAAATAATATCATGTAATACTCCAGGTATGCAACTCATGCCCATACTAAGAGCTTCCTCCAAGTGCGCAGAGCTTGGATGAACGATGCATGCACATGTCATCCGCATGTCATCCCAACAGAGCAACTTAAGAAGCAAGGACGATTTTCTTTGGAGGGCTTTCCCCTTGCTTTTTGCCAGCAAAACATCCGGCTCGCTTCACATCCGCATCTTTATCACCCCTGCAGCCCGACACGGACTTCATGCGACCCTAAACCCCAAATTGGCTTCGCCTTGAAGCAAACGAAAAGAGCCGCCCCGGGCGCTCGGTCTCCAACCATCCTCGGGAGCATCAAGTAACATGACATCATATTCTACATGATACATAATAATACATGTAACATGTACAAGTAACACAGTACAATACAGCACTTGTGCGTTAAAAATCTAAAAAACTGTCGGCGGCTTTCGGTGACACATCCCAGAGGCTCATTGTGCATCCCGATGTAGAACTTGCTCCGGGATCTCAGCAGCGCGTGTGAGAAGCAACGGAACATCTGTGGAGCATCTGGGGGCGGCAGCCCTAAACTTAAACCATAAGTCAGGCTATAAGCAATTCTATATATAGTTCCCCTACTTATAACCCCACTTTTGAACACCCATCAACCTGAGGGTTTAGGGTTTAAGGTTTAGGGTTTAGGGTTTAGGGTTTAGGGTTTAGGGTTTAGGGTTTAGGGTTTAGGGAAGTATGGGCACCTCTTGGGCCAAAGCTGAGGCTTCGGCGGCTTGTTCACCGCCTCGTAGACGCCCGCCTTCTTGTCGACCGCATCCCGGGCCGCAACAGAGTGCAGGGGGTCCTGGGCTCGAAGGGTTTGGGGTTTGGGGTTTGGGGTTTGGGGTTTGGGGTGTTGGGGGGTTGGGGTTTGGGGTTTGGGGTTTGGGGTTTGGGGTTTGGGGTTTGGGGTTTGGGGCTTAGGGTTTAGGGGGTTTAGGATCTAGGGCCTAGAGAGGGAAGGGGATTAGGGGTGTAGGGTTCTGAGGTTTGGGGCGCTTTTGGGGCCTAGAGATGAGGGGGTTCGGGTCTAGGTTCTACGGCTTCGGGTGTTTGGGGCACTTAAGGTTGGAGGTTTCTCATCCGCTTCCGCCTCTCCCCATGCGCGCCTCACAGGGTTCGAGCTCGAGGGCCTGACCCACCTGCGGCTGAGGCATTAAACCGTTGGAGAAAACAGGAATGGACAATGTAGAATATGTACTATAACACAATAGAATTTGTTAAAGAATGGACAATGTAGAATATGTACTATAACACAATAGAACTTGTTAAAGAATGGACAATGTAGAATATGTACTATAACACAATAGGATATGTACTATAACACAATAGAATATGTACTATAACACAATAGGATATGTACTATAACACAATAGAATATGTACTATAACACAATAGACTATAACAATAGAATATATACTATAACACAATAGAATATATACTATAACACAATAGCATATATACAATAACACAATAGAAGAATTGTTTATGATGTGCAAGAGGGAGCTGCACTGAACGCAACTTGTGGTGAGGTGTCTACGCGCCGCTCCGCCCCGGTGAGCGATACAACAAAGGGGTGAGGGCTTTCGCGTTTAGGGTTTAGGGTTTAGGGTTTAGGGTTTAGGGTTTAGGGTTTAGGGTTTAGGGTTTAGCGTCTAGAGTTTAGGGTTTAGGGGGTTTGGGGCTTTCTTCATCTGTTGTCTTTAGGACCTTAAGGAGTTACATCGCAAGAGAAACGCTTCAGCCGGCCCCATGCATGTGTGAAGAAAGAAACCTTACGCCGTCTCGGCCGGGTAAGCAGTGAAGTGCCTGCTTGGTTCAAGGCATAGTAGGGGTGTCATGACGCCTTGCTGCTTCAGGAACATCTTGAACACTAGGCCTGCCAAAACCTCCCTCCCTCGTGAGTTTGATGAAAACCTCAACCCTCAACCCGAAACGAAGGTTGAAAACGGCAAAGGTAGTCAAAAACTATCAGCTCCCAGCAGCCCCCCCCCCTTTTCCGTTGAGAGAGGCAGACCGGACTCTGTGAAGTATGGTTTTTGTTACTCGTCTCCCCCAAACAGACACCAATTCTCTACGCTTACCAGCATTCATAGGTTTAGGGTTTAGGGTTTAGGGTTTAGGGTTTAGGGTTTAGGGTTTAGGGTTTAGGGTTTAGGGTTTAGGGTTTAGGGTTTAGGGTTTAGGGTTTAGGGTTTAGGGTTTAGGGTTTAGGGTTTAGGGTTTAGGGTTAGGTTTAGGGTTTAGGGTTTAGGGTTTAGGGTTTAGGGTTTAGGGTTTAGGGTTTAGGGTTTAGGGTTTAGGGTTTAGGGTTTAGGGTTTAGGGTTTAGGGTTTAGGGTTTAGGGTTTAGGGTTTAGGGTTTAGGGTTTAGGGAACCCTTTGATACACTCAACAACAGCTCTGGCAGAAGCCCTGTTTCATATACTCGTTGCTTTGCGGGGCCCTCGTCGCCCGCGTCCCTCTTCATCCTTTTCCCCGCCTGGCCGAAGGTCGCTTTGTCTTTGGAGATGTCGAAGCCGCGGAACACGACAGCCCCGTGCATCTTCAGATCCTGGGCGTAGAACAAGCTCTTCACTGCATTTGATTCACATTCCATGACAGAAGCTCAACACACACACACACACACACACACACACCTCTAAACCCCAAACCCTAAGCCCCAAACCCTAAACCCTAAACCGCACACACTCCTGCCTTGTAGATCTGCGGCAAGTTCGACGAGAAGAACTTGCGCTGTGCCTGCCCGACTCAGGCAACCTCACATGTGACGAGATGTGCCGGCCTGGAGCTGCGAGTCCTAAACCCTAAACCCTAAACCCTCAACCCTCAACCCTCAACCCTAAACCCTAAACCCTCAACCCTAAACCCTATAAAGCATGCAACAACAAAGCCCCGAAGACCGCGCCTCAAGGTCGCCTTTCATCTCATCCGGCATCTTGATCTCCAGAGGGCAGTTTGGCACCTGCAACGCACCGAGAGAGTCGCGTCTCTCGTGCTTGCTACAAAATTAGGCTCTATGGGGCCTTTTGGGGTTTTTGGTTTAGGGTTTTGGGTTTCGGGGCTTAGGCGCCTTCATCTCTTGGCGTTCTGCCGCGATGTCTACGTCCTTCTGACCTCATGAGTTGATTCGGTTGGCTCACGTAGCAGCGGCTGAAGTGCAACATGGCAGAGGCATTCTGTCTAAGCCAGGGGCCATACAAAGCGTATGGACAGTCAGCCAAGCCATCTGCGTGGCGGGTGACGTGCGAGCGCCTTGAACTGACCACGGGTGCCACAAGCAGGCGCGCGGACACGTTGATGCAGATGCAAGCAGGTCGCGCTGCCGGCTTCCGCTGAAGCCGCAGAGCTGAGAGTGCGCAGACCACAGCCGCAGACGCCGGCAGCCAGCTGCTTTGCGCACGTGGCTGAGAACCTTCCCAGGCCGAGAAAAGTCTGACGTGCACTCTCTTGGATAGGCAACAACCACGTCATGGCAATGAAAAAGAAAGTAGCACCCCATCCATTCCCTACACGGCCAGTACGAACCCGAAGCTTTGAATCCTAAGCCCTAAACCCTAAACCCTAAACCCTAAACCCGCCTGCCAGTCCGATCCCGCGCAGGCGGGGTGCGGGGCTGACCTCCTTCGGCTCGACGCTTCCGCCCACAAAACACCTGCCCGGAGGTGGGCGGCCGGAGTTTTGGTGAGGCAATATAAACACAGCCATGCGTGCACTGCACTGCACTGCACTGCTGCATTTGCAGTTGCATTTCATCTCATTTCGTAGCCTAGCATGGCGTAGCATGGCATCGCCTGCATGGCGTAGCATAACGTAACATATCGTGGCAGAGCAGATCGTGACATACATGTACTTAACATATAAGCATATGTACCTACAAGAACATATACATAGAAACAACATATACATAGAAACATAGTTACATACACTCACACATTCATATGTACCTACGATACCACCCACCAACACCAACCCTACACCACCAGTCTGCCAGTTTGTTCGATGTGGGTTTTTTCTGTAACATACATGAACCATACAACATCCCGTTAAAGATCTTTTGTTTTGGAGGCAAACGCCCTCATGAGTCTTACTTTGAAGGAGATTACCAGCCACTGCCTGTAGCCTCGCGAGCGCATTCCCCTACAAACTCAACTGGTTTACACTGCGATTCCTTGGGATGTTTGCATATGGCCAAGTCCCTGCTTGCATATGCAGACCTATGCAGACCCCGTGTGTGAAGTACATTCGGCCACAGCTTAAATGACAAAGATTTGTCTTAGCCTGCTGGCGGAAATCACCGTCGCACAGGCAGCTGCCGAGGCTACCTTGAAACCGGCAGGCTCTATGGCATGGCAACCCTGCTGCACGTCAGACATGTCGCAAGCGCAGCTGCCAACGCAGAATGGCTGCAGCAGTTGCCACGTTGACCCGTTTGCCATCCATGGCTTGAGGGCGACGGGCAACAGAGCTTAAAAAATACCCTTAGGGAGCCAAAGCTGCAGGATGCTCAGGCATGATACCGGTGCTTCGCTAAGGGTGGAGGAATGGATCTTCATCCTCCCTACATACTCCCCAGGGATATCGATTTGTCTATCGATATGTATATACATGTGTTTATACATATATATATATATATATATACACATATACGGAAGTGTATATGTTGAGACATAGATGTATGCATATGAGCCCCTACTGCTCACATCCACTCCCCCACTCCCCTCGAGCACCGGTACAGTCAACGTGCGTCCAAGCCAGGGGCGGCATTCTGGTGTGACCGCATCGCCCTGCCACGTCGAGAAGGCTGCACAGGGTACCAATTTGGGGGTTCTCCGGAAATAGGGGTACCCTTTTTGGGGGTCCCGTTAAGGGGCTTCTACTCTACTTGGGGGTATAAACGGGGTACCCCCTGTTTTGCGAAATCTGCAGATGAAGCTGCTGCTCCTGCAGAGGTCATGATCTTGCTTTCGGGCCCCAGTAGGGTGTCCCGTGTATTAGTGTTTGTTCAAGATGCCTGTCCCCAAAATGACCACCAGGCAGGTTCATGTTTACTAGGGATTCCCCTCTTAATCGGGCTCTCATCCCACCCTCTCATTCCGCCATACCTTGAAAGTTTCTTTCGAACTGCCCCGCACGGGAGTTAGGGAAGCACAATGAGCCGTGAAAGCCGGGTTCACACTCTGCAGACTGTCTGCATAACCATGGGCCCTAGAAACCCTAAACCTTAAACCCCAAACTTCTGAACCCTGTCGTCCGATTCCAGCACTCCCCCACCCTTCCCCCAGCTGGGGGCCCTGCATCTGCGTTACCGGCTCCATCCAGGCACCATTGGCAACCAGGCCCGTCTCCTTGACTAGGGGCTTAGGGCTTTGGAACAAGTACACACCACCCTAAAACCAGGCCCTAAACCCTAAACCCTACACCTGAATTAGAAGAGAGACCTCCCGAATCTCCGGAGCCTTGCCCCCCCCCCCCCCCCCCCCCTGAACCCTGAACCCTAAACCCTAAACCCTAAACCCTAAACCCTAAACCCTACTTTTGAGCAAGAAACCTCGTGTGGGCCGCCGGCGCTGATGGCCCGCAGCTCTGCTTCAGCTGCCGCCACAGCCTGACCCCGTTTTGGGGGTTTAGGGTTTAGGGTGTAGGGTTTAGGGTTTAGGGTTTAGGGTTTAGGGTTTAGGGTTTAAGGTTTAGGGTTTAGGGTTTAGGGTTTAGGGTTTAGGGTTTAGGGTTTAGGGTTTAGGGTTTAGGGTTTAGGTTCTATGTGGGGTATAAACAGTTAGTGGATACCATTTCCATTTTCTAACCATACACACCCTTGTAGGCCACCTGAAGACCCAAAACCATAACAACCTATACCTCAACCCTAAACCCACCGAAAGACCCATAGGAAAGACCCACCTGAAGAACCCATACTATGGAACTACCCACAACCCCATAGAAAAAAAAAACCCCAACCTCAAACCCATAGACAAGCACCCCCATAGAAAAACCCATATTCCAACCCATATTCCCTAACCCTTGAAAATGGAAATGGTATTCTCTAATAACATAACTGTAATAGGAATAAGGTTTGGGGATAAGGTAAAATCATAATATAGTTATAATATGTAATAACTTAAGGATTATAACTACATTATACTTATGAATGCATTATCCTATATAGTGAAGCATATGAAGCCTTTTCGGTGTCTGCTGTCGTTGCTTTCGGTTCGGCAACATCAACTGGAATTTCAATATTTATTCTGCCCTTATGCTTTCCGAATAGCATAAAGTAATCTTCTAGAAACTCAACATTCATTAGCAACTGATGGACGTGATTGAATACTTTATCAATATCGGGTTTAGGTTTCTCGGGTTCTGGATGTGGTTCATCATCAACAAATTTATTAGGAAATTGTTCGTTTAATCGTTTGCGTATTTGCCTTTTCTGCTTTTCGTATTCTGCCTTAATCTCTGCATGTAATTCGTAGTTTAGTTTGCCTTCTTTCCTTGGATAACCTAGCTTTGTTAAATAACCGTTCATCAATATATTTAGTTCCGAGTTCGGATGTAACGCATCATGGAAATGGGCATCTCAGTTTTCGGGCTTGATTTTGTGCCCGCATTCTTCGCATAATTGGCTCCCTTTTGCTCTCTCTTCTCTTCTCGCTTGGTTATATTCCTTCTGGTTCCTTTTGTAGCATTTCTTTTCGCTTCACGGCACTTATTACAAGTCTTAAATCCGTCAAACTCTTCAACATCTTTAGTCGCACAACACGATTTACACACTCGCTTTTCCATCTTACTATACTATAAAGTCTAGTCTTTAGGCATGGCTGGACTGAAAAAATCTTCTAATATTTTGATTAATATTAGAACATTTATAGGGGCAATGGGCAATCAAAAGAAGCAATGGGCGCGGGGGAACACCTCCAAACTAATTAACCATTTCCACACTCTTTGATATGCTTCTGGTATAGCGCAACACACGGGGAGAAGAAATGATGTCTGGGACTTCAAAAGGCTTTACACTGTCAAATATATAAATAAACAATACTTTAAGTATTTATTTTCACACGTCTTCTAATTGATAGAATTCAAACAACAATTTAAATCGTTTCTTATACTGGCTTACATGTTGGTAATCTTCCAGCTCATCTATTATCGCACTTAACCTAGCATCATACATTCTTATATTTCTTCTTTCAATTAACCAATTGCTTTTGTTTTCATTCTTCTCTTTCTTGAAACACAAACAATCCATATATTTATATTACTATACAATTTTCTTATTAATTTTGAGTTTCAGTTCAGTAATATCCAATTCTAAACGCTCTATCTCTTTCTCTGTCTTGGTTATTTCTTTCTTTTGCTCTAGTTCTTCGGGGGTTATTTGATTTTTAAATCACTGCCACGCAGAAATTCAATGCCTTAAGCCCCGTCATTCGCGTTAATAGTCGTCAGTTATTTTTCTTCAGGTTAAGGAACTACAAGGAGATAGAAACCATGGTGGAGGCGTTAAGCGCCGTATTGATTAAGAAGTCGGCCGTGGCAGACACTAAAAACCTAGCAGAAGCACAGAAACTAATGTTAGAAGTATATAACATAGCAACCGAAGAGCCGTATAGTTTCTTATTCATTAACCTACTGAAAGGAGATGTAAACCTCCTTAATGTTCTCTTTCAGTTTAGCGTCTGATGTTTCAGTTAAAGCAACACATGTCAATGTTCCGTTTATATCTGCGTTATTTGTTGTTGTAAAGAAACCGTAAACATCCACGCCCGTATTTGTAGCATCTAATCTTGATAAATTATTTTTGCTTAATCTAATAAATCCATCAGTGCCTGGGTTATTAATCATTACTTTTTGTCTTCCTGCATCGTCTATGTGTGTAATTTCAAGACTTCCTAATAAGTTTACTTTTCCATCGGTTAATTGAATTTCTGGTGTGCTACTTTCTAAACCTATTGTTAAGTTCATTTCTCCTAATGTATCGCCATTTGAAAATAAATAATTTATATTGAGTATCCAATACTTCTTTTAATTCGCTGCTATTTTGAAACATAAACCTGCCCCAACTAATTAATGACATCACTTTCACTGGGTTTTTGTATAAGGTTCTGGGTTTGGGTCTGTGATGTGGCCTAGGGGGTGTGCATGGTTAGAAAATGGAAATGGCATCCACTAACTTAAAATGGGTACCCTATTTTGGGACATAACCAAATCACTGCGCTGCCATTGGCTCAGCCTGCGACCCATCAACCCCCTTAGCCCTTTGCCCCTTCCAAACCCCGAAACAAAAATGCATAAGTCCCTACAAAACCTACAAAACCAGTGGGCGCGGGCTCCGGGACTGGATTCGAGGTCGCGTCCTCTGCGCCGAATTGCGCCGCTCTGCGCCGCTTTGCGCCGCATTGCGCTGAAATACGCCGGGTGTGCTGCACTGCGCTGCATTGCGCCGAATTGCGCTGAATGCGCCGAATTACGCCGGATGCCCTGCACTGCGCTGTATTGCGCCGAATTGCGCTGAATCACGCCGGATGCGCTGCACTGCGCTGCATTGCGCCGAATTGCGCTGCATTGCGCCGGATTGCGCTGCATTGCGCCGGATTGCGCCGGATTGCGCTGCATTGCGCCGAATTGCGCTGCATTGCGCCGAATTGCGCTGCATTGCGCCGAATTGCGCTGCATTGCGCCGAATTGCGCTGCATTGCGCCGACTTGCGCTGAATGCGCCGATTTGCGCCGCATGCGCTGTGTTTCCTGGCGTGCGCCGCAATGCGCTGCACGGCGCCGAATTGCGCTGAATTGCGCTGCTTTGCGCTGATTATATAAGGCTCAGATGATTAAATATATTCACGGCAAGACACTTTTCGGGTTAAGCCGACATGGGGTCGTCAATTCGCAGCACGCTTAAATTGTTGGGTTTGGGGGATATCGGGCGCATGGGTGCTCGGTTTCTCGGCGGCGGGTTTATCGGGTCTGAGGACGCGCGGGTTTTCGGTAACTACATGGAGCATCAGGGACAAGGAGGACCACCTGTAAAGGGTGGGCATCGGCTTTTTTTCTTTTTCGGGGGGGGCGGGGGGGGGTCTCCACTCAGTTGGCATGGCTGACGCCACCTGGCTGTCGTCGCTGCAGTCTTCCACAGATCGGCATGAAGCACTTCGGTACAACGTGAACATTTTCGGTTTGGGAGGAGATTAGCTCAGAGGCAGAGCATCTGACGTCTGAGGGCAAAGAATTGCTTTGCTCCTTAGCGTTTGAGGTGTGGGGATTATAGGGTTTAGGGTTTATATAGGTTTAGGGCTTGACGACATGTACAAAGTGTGTTCAGGGTTCGAGAGGTTTTCATCTGCGCCTATAATTATTGGGGAGCGCTGACAGTTGTTTTGCTTATGAGGGCGCTGACGGCCATTCTTCCTCCCAGAAACACCGGGCAGCAGCTGCCAACAATCTATTCGAACTTGAGTGCTTGTTTTTCATCCAGGGCGCCAATGGTAAGGATGACTCCCGGCAAGTGTCGCAAGGAAACAGATGCATCCATTCTCAGATTGTTTTGCTGACTGGGGCGCGACTGTGAGATCAGTACTCTTGGACAGCGGCATGTATGAAGTGTTGAAACGCAACGAATGATGTAATGTCGAAGACGCACCAACAAGCAGAACAACCGCAGATAGTAAGCGAAGACGCACCAAGCGCACATAGAGTGAAGACGCAGCAAGAAGCAAAGCAAACGCACATAGTAAGCGAAGAGGCACCAATATAAGCAAAACAATCGCATATAGAGCGCAGACGCAGCGAGAAGTAAAACAACCTCACGTAGTAAGCGAAGACCCAGGCAACAATATAAGCAAATCAACCGCACGGAGTAAGCGAAGACGCACCAATAAGCAAAACAAGCGCACGTAGTAAGCGAAGACGCACCAATAAGCAAAACAACCGCACGTAGTGATCGCAGACGCACCCATAAGCCAAACAACCGCAGATAGCAAGCGAAGACGCACCAAGAAGCAAAACAACCGCAGCTAATAAGCGACGACGCACCAACAAGCAAAACAAGTGCATAATTCCCCCCTGTTCGGGGCTGGGAGAGGTGTGGTGCGGGGGGGACCCCCCCGAGAAAATGGGTCCGAACCTACATCTCCGGGTTTCCGGAAATAGGCCCGGGCCTATTTTCTTTTAGGGCGGTGGTTTGGGTATGTGACCCTTCGAGAATTCGTAGGAGGCTGCGGCTTCTTGTTCATCTTAGGCGTTGGCTGGGCAACACGCAGCGGCAGCGCGAAGAGCGTCGGCAGCGGCAGCGACCGTCAGCAAGGGACATAGTTGAGGATCGGGTTTATCGGTCGGTGCCTTGGCGCGGGTTCACCAGTGCGCCACGGGTCTGTCGGGCTTAGCGGGTATATCGGTGCGCCACGGGTTTATCGGGTTTAGCGGGTTGATCGGTGCGTTTTGCGGGTTTATCGGTGCGCCACGGGTTTGTCGGGTTTAGCGGGTTTATCGGTGCGCCACGGGTTTGTCGGGTTTAGCGGGTTTATCGGTGCGGTTTAGCGGGTTTAGCGGAATTATCGGTGCGCCACGGGTTTAGCGGGTTTATCGGTGCGCCACGGGTTTAGCGGGTTTAGCGGGTTTAGCGGGTTTATCGGTGCGCCACGGGTTTAGCGGGTTTAGCGGGTTTAGCGGGTTTATCGGTGCGCCACGGGTTTAGCGGGTTTAGCGGGTTTAGCGGGTTTAGCGGTGCGGGTTTAGCGGGTTTAGCGGGTTTAGCGGGTTTAGCGGGTTTATCGGTGCGCCACGGGTTTAGCGGGTTTAGCGGGTTTAGCGGGTTTATCGGTGCGCAGTCCCCGTTTCCGCGCGCAATGTACAAAACCCCTGAAGCCCCAAACCCTACATCCTAAGCCCCTAACCCCGCCTGAACCCTAAACCCTGAACCCTAACCCCCACCCCCGCCCCCAAGTTCGGAAACCCCCCCCCCCCCCCCCCCCCCCCCCAAATGAAACCCCTAAACCCTAAGCCCTAAACCCTAAACCCCAAACCCTGAAGCCCAAAAGAAGCCCAACAACCCGCCACCTCTTGCAGCTGCGACGCCACTGCCTCGAACCAACCCTTGAAGGCGGCACCTTGTCTAGGGTCGCAAGGGTTGAGGGTTTAGGGTTTAGGGCTTAGGGCTTAGGGCTTAGGGCTTAGGGCTTAGGGTTTAGGGTTTTGGGGTTTCGGGTCTAGGGTTAGGGTTCGCGCTGTGGCCGCTGGGGAGTTGGGAAGAGATGAGGGGGTTTGGGGGGGTTTGGGGTTCAGGGGTAATAGGGGGCTGAAATTTAGGTGCCCTTGACTTAAGATTTCGAGGCCCCCCCCTCCCTGAAATCTGAAATCTGGAGGGCACTGTTCTTGGCTCAGTGCCCTATAGAATTCAGCTGGCAGCCCTAAACCCTAAACCCTAAACCCTAAACCCCAAAACCCCTAAACCCTAAACCCTAAACCCTGACAACTTGAGACCAGATATTCTTAGCTGCCTTCGCTCGCGTCGGCTCTACACCAGCCGGTCCCAAGGCGTGGAGACCCCCGCAACTACTAATCGCTTAAGAACCCCCCAAAAAATAGAAAATATATTCTTCCTTATTAAGGGTATTATAGAGATTCTTATGTTTTTTCTTTTGGGGTTCCTAAGCAAATAGTAGACAAGACCTTCAAATTTCAATCTGAGCCCCTCAGACATTTGGGGCTTCAGTGTCAGACATGGCGGGGTGCTACAGAAACTTTTGGTTTGAACACATGTTGCTTAGGTTCAGAATGCGCAAAGAATCTGAGTCCCCTTGAAGCCTGAACAGAGGCAAAACACACAACTTGCGGAGACCCCCGATCTGACCCACGTTCTATATCAGCGCTCGCACTCTAACTAACTTACCCGCCAAAAGTGTGATGATCCCCACATTGAAGGAACCCCTGCAAAAAAGGGAAAATCCCTATCTCCGGAAACCCCCCAGATGATGGAGAGGCTAGGCTGCAGGCGCAATCTCTTCAAGTCGCGCTTCAAGTCCTGCGTCCTGTGGAGCTCTCGAACCCTTGTTGAGGAGTGGTTGCTGTTGGGGTGCCCACAGGTACCTCACAAAAGCCCCGTGTCAAAAAATAGAGTACCCATAACCCTTCAAACGGTTGCATGGGAATGGCGGCCTCAACTTGCGCATCTTGAGCACGAAAGCCCACCATCCTGCAGGTGAGGTTTAGGGTTTAGGGTTTAGGGTTTAGGGTTTAGGGTTTAGGGTTTAGGGTTTAGGGTTTAGGGTTTAGGGTTTAGGGTTTAGGGTTTAGGGTTTAGGGTTTAGGGTTTAGGGTTTAGGGTCTAAGGTCTAAGGTCTAGGGTCTAGGGCTTAGGACCCCTGACAACACAGCGAGGTGTGCACACGCTTAGGACCCCTGCGGAGATGGCGCAGCTTTGCTTGCAGATGTGCGCCGCGCCACGCGGAGCATGCCCACCTCAGCCGCAAGGGGGAGAAGCCAAAGGGTTTAGGGTTTAGGGTTTAGGGTTTAGGGTTTAGGGTTTAGGGTTTAGGGTTTAGGGTTTAGGGTTTAGGGTTTAGGGTTTAGGGTTTAGGGTTGAGAAGCCAGTCTCGTCTCACTGAGCGCATGCACTGAAGGACAGGAAGCACCGCTGCATCAGGCAACCTGCGCGTACGGCCGCCCAGCATGCCAAGTGCAGAGAAGCAAAGACAAGGCCCAAGGCCAGACACACAGGATTTTTCCCCCCCAACCCCCCCCCCAAAGTGCCGCCCAGATGCCACAGCGACACTGTGAACTTCCTGGAAGCAGAAAGTCTCAAAAAAGAATGAATTCGGGAACTTCCCAAGCTGACAGCACGCAATGAAAGTCGAGCTGCAGCCAGCGGGTCACCGCAGAAGATTGCCTTGGTACCGGTGACGTGCGTCATGCGTGTGTGAAGGAGCACAGCTGGGTGAAGCGATGGCGGGGGCCACAAACAGAAACAGGATTCAGATACATACACAAGTGGAAACAAAGTGAAAAATAAAGCCGCGGCCAAATAATGGTTGAGGAAAATCCGGGCGGTGCAGGGTGGCCGGAAAAGGCGCGCCAAAATTCACCATAACTAAATACAACGAATGTGTGCGTGCAAAACACAAAATTGACAAAGAAGGTACTGCGACCGTATAGAAACCTCCGGAGAGGATACAGAAACAAGGGTGACCAACAAACGATCTCACGGCTGCTGGCACATCCGCATGCGAAAGGCAACGTCGCGTGCGGAACCATTCAGGGAGTTGACTCCTAGCAGCGCAGTGAGCGCCCGATCCCATGCTTTGTGGGGTGGTGCCAATGCAACGTCAGTGTCACCGTCTGTGGCCCTCTGGCCACTTTTGGGAGCAGCGAGAGAGGGGGGACGGAGAGTGGAATCAGACCCAGCTTTTGCAAAAGCACGTCTGCCCCCCCGACACCTCATGAAACGGGGGGGGCAAGTCAGGGTGCTGGGCATTCCGTTCTGAACTGCAACCACTGGAGTAAGCCTCCGGCACCGGCCTCGGCTGCTTGGGAGCAGTCGGGGTCTCCTCCTCCTTCGGGTCGCCCACGTGTTCGGTGGGAGGCTGCGGCTGCGAATCCAGGAGCGGATCTTCCGGAGGACGCCGAGGCCGTGGAGACCGCAAAGACGCAAGGCAGGTAGAGGCATCTGGATGCCTGAGCGGAGTGCGAAGTGTGTGAACTATTTCCCTGAATTTGCACGTATTGTCAGTCTTGTGCTCACTTCCTACCTGCCTCCCTTCCTTCATTCCTTCCCGGGCTGCTCCAACTCCCACTACTCCTGCTCCTCCCTCCTGCTTCCCGGTACTACTTCTGCTTCCAGCTTGTGCCTTCCTCCTACTGCCCTGCTACTGCTCTTCTACTGCTCTGCTGCTGCTCTGCTCCAGCTCCACTGCTCTGCTTCCGTTCCTGCTTCGCGACTGCCCTGACTCCAAATCTCCTACACCCGCACCCTAAACCCCAAACCCTAAACCCTAAACTCTAAACCCTAGACCCTAAACCCTAAAACCTAAACCCTAAACCCTAAACTCTCCCCCTCTCGCCCCCTCAGAGGAGCGGGCCTGGCCAACGTGGAGCTTGGAGAAAGGCTGGGCGAGGCCTTGGAGAGCCGCTGCCTTCCCGTGCTGAGGCTTCGCCTTGCGTATTGTATATACATATATATATATATATAATACGTATAGATAATATAATATAACAATGTATATATATATATATAAACATACATATATATATATATATTCTCTTTGTAAGACATGCTGAAAGGCAGCCCGACATTGATTTCAGCATGGCACCAGCGCACACCATGCGGAATCGGGGGCCTGGGCGTGTGAGCGGATGCCTCAGACATCCCTGAGCCATCCTTGTGGCTGATGGCCTCGCAGAAAGCGGGTTTAGGGTTTAGGGTTCAGGGTTTCGGGTTTAGGGTTTAGGGTTTAGGGTTTAGGGTTTAGGGTTTAGGGTTTAGGGTTTAGGGTTTAGGGTTTAGGGTTTAAGGGTTTAAGGGTTTAAGGGTTTAAGGGTTTAGGGCTTAGGGCTTAGGGTTTAGGGTTTAGGGTTTAGGGTTTAGGGTTTAGGGTTTAGGGTTTAGGGTTTAGGGTTTAGGGTTTAGGGGTTAGGGTTTAGGGTTTAGGGTTTAGGGTTTAGGGCGACCGGTTTTGAGAAGCCACTGGGCTGCTGGCTGAGGGCCCTTCGTGACTCAAGTCGGCTTCGTTGCACATGATCCTCGACCGGCGGGGCGTTGGGCTTGAGACTGTCCAGGGTTTAGGGTTTAGGGTTTAGGGTTTAGGGTTTAGGGTTTAGGGTTTAGGGTTTAGGGTTTAGGGTTTAGGGTTTAGGGTTTAGGGTTTAGGGTTTAGGGTTTAGGGTTTAGGGTTTAAATCCACGCGCCCAAGAGGCATCCTTGTCGCTTTGGAACGGACGAACCAACGAATCAGCAGGTCATGTGCCCGAGCCCATCTGGAAGCGGAGACCATTGCCTCGCAATGAGCAGCTCAGGCTAGAATGAGTACGGTTAGGGTTTAGGGTTTAGGGTTTAGGGTTTAGGGTTTAGGGTTTAGGGTTTAGGGTTTAGGGTTTAGGGTTTAGGGTTTAGGGTTTAGGGTTTAGGGTTTAGGGTTTAGGGTTTAGGGTTTAGGGTTTAGGGTTTAGGGTTTAGGGTTTAGGGTTTAGGGTTTAGGGTTTAGGGTTTAGGGTTTAGGGTTTAGGGTTTAGGGTTTAGGGTTTAGGGTTTAGGGTTTAGGGTTTAGGGTTTAGGGTTTAGGGTTTAGGGTTTAGGGTTTAGGGTTTAGGGTTTAGGGTTTAGGGTTTAGGGTTTAGGGAATGGAGAATGCGGTCCATCTCTGCAAAGCTAGGAAGTTACGGAGGTTTGAGAGCTTAGGGCAAACATCACATGTCCTCGGAATGCCCCGGCACATGAACCTCAACACACCAGAAGCCACGAGCACGTACCGCATGTGCAAGAAATCCCAACGCGACACAGAGCTCAACGTCGAAACGCGTTTGCCGCTCCTTCTTCATCAACAGGATATTATCTGTTTTCCTTGAAAAGAAACAAAGACAAGAAGTTTATTCCCACTTCATCCCTTTCCTTTTTCTCATATGTTCACCTGTTTGTTTTTTCTCTCTCTTTCTTCGTTCTGGCACGCCTGGTTCTTGTCGTTTCTTTCCTGCTGCTCCTTCTACGTATTTCCTTTTGCTCTGCTTATACTAAACGCAATCAGCGCCTCCTCTTTTTTGCGTACTGCCCCGAGTCCTAAATCGCAAGCACTGTCCTACATTCCTCCCCTTCTTCTCTCCTCTTCTTTCCACCATTAATTTTCGCTTGTTGTGTTCGTTTATCGTATCGTTCTCTCTGTCTCTCCCCCTCTCTCTCGCCCGCTCTCTTCTTCCTGTCTCTTGCCCTCTTCGTTCTCCTCCCGCTTGCTCCTCCCCATCCCGTGCCCCTTTTCTCCTCGCCCCTCCAAGACGAAGGTCAAGGAAACGGACGGAGACGAGAACGACATGAAAGAAAGAGGACTTCTCCTTGTTCCCTCTACCTTACCCATTTTTTGTCCTTAAAAGGGGTGGAAAGTGTCCCCTCTTCCCCTTTTGAAGCCCTCTCTTGCAAGCCTCTCGTTGGAAACCTCTGCAGGATTTTGAGTTCCCCTTACCTTAATAATTCATTGTCTTTTTTGTTCTCGAGAAGGGGAGGAAAGCGTCTTCCTCTCTGACCCCTCTTTCCCTTCAAAGCCTCTCTCTGGAAAGCCTCTCATTGTGAAAACCCTAAGAGATTTGTTAGCGAAAATGCTGACGTGAAGCAGAACATCACGTACGATCTCCACATGGTGCAAATACGATTTTGGCAGAACATGCACAAGATGATGGTCTGCTGGCGTGGGGGGGAGAGACACGAAGCAGAAACCAAAAACAAACATGTAAGCACGTAGCATAAAGCAGAAAGCACAAAGCAGACAGCAAACCGCCCAAAGAGCAGAAGACGAACCAGCGACAAGCAAGCAAAAAGGATAAAGAAATCCAGAATTAGTCGAACGCATAATCTATGTATAGAACATACCTCCTTAACCCAGACGGCTGATACACCTAAGTTCTAAGAAAGCAAAAGACAAACAAATCAACGAATAGACTGCACAAAGTTGAGCCCACAAAGGCGTGGCCTTATCACTGAGCCTGCAAAGCGGCTGCAAAGAAGCCAATAGCGCTTTTGAGACGTTATCGGGAAATCTGAGTCTCCTCTACGTACTTCACTGCCAACATCTCCCAGCATGCTACAGAAGAAGCCAAACACAAAGCTTCACAAAGAGCTACGGAGAAGCTAGCCGTAAGTGGGTTGTATGAATGCACGGATGACTGCCAATTTCTTAAGAAACCCCTCAAAGAATGAAAATGTAAAAAACAACTTCCTTCCCTTTAAGGGTAATATGGGGATTAATATGTTTCAGCTCTCGGGGGTTCTTAAGCAAATAGCAAATGAGGGCCCTCGATGTGACAAAGGAAAGTCTACCCCGGCACCCGGCCTGCAGCGCCATGGAGGCACGCTGGAGGTGATCCTGACGCATCTCGGGAATTGCAGGTTTAGGGTTTGGGGTTTGGGGTTTAGGGTTTAGGGTTTAGGGTTTAGGGTAACTCGTGGCAAAAAATCGTGGAGAGTTTCCCCTAGCAGGCGGGCGCCTCTTTCGCGGCTGCCTCTCTGGCATGCCCGTGCCAAAACCAGAGTGCCTGGGCGATTGCCTCAGCCATTGCACAAAGCCCAGCGATACGGCCAGAGCACCAGCATTGACTGAGCAGTCGACCAGCTTCTCGATGGCATCTTTGGCCTCTAGAAGGGACCCTTAATCTTATTCCCCTAGATAACCCCTATATGTATATACATATATATATATACATATATATATATATACATATATATATATATTTGTATATATATATATATATATATACCTTATATAGTCCCTATATACCTAAGCAGCCCCTAAATACCCCAGTTTTGAACAACGAACATCATGTCATGGATTGTAGAAGGGGCAGTGTCGCTCCTCTCGGATCCGGCGCCGCCACTTCCTCTTGGCCCTGGCCACCTTCCACAAAGTGGCTGAGTCACTGGGCTTAGGGTTTAGGGGGTTTGCGAAGGCCTGGCCCCAGAGCTCGAAGCTTCGCCAGAGGCACTGGGAGCTGCGCCTGGACCCCGCTGAGCTATGCGGCGGTTTCCGATATTGGGGGTACCTTATTGGGGTTTAGGGTTTAGGGTCTAGGGTCTGGGTTTAGGGTTTAGGGTTTAGGGCGTTTAGGGTTTAGGGTGTAGGGTATAGGGTTACCGTGCCAGCAGCAAGTGAACCAACTCGCATGCTACTCGCGTAAGCCATTGCGCCTTGCCTCTGCCTCCAAGCCGAACATCCATCTCCTGGAACCCATTGCCCAGTTCCCAAAGTAGCGCGATCTGTACGAACACGGTCCAAGCATAAGGCCTACCATCAGCTCTCGAGCGTCACGCTCGTTGAAAAGATGACCTTGCGAGAGGGCTTGGCATCAGAAGGGGCGTGTAACAGGCATCAGCGCAGGCTGCTGGGCAAAGTCGGAACCCCAGCCTACCACGCGATTCCATTTCCGGAAAGCGTCGAGCAAGGTGCTGTGCGCCTCGTGCCCAGCAAAGACCCTTCAGTGGCACATGTGGGGGCTGACCAAAATGCATGGGCCCTGTTGGGTCCACCCCTGCCCCCCCAAAACACTACGAACTATGTTCAGGGGACGCATAATACTCTGGGCGCAACCAGGGTTTAGGGTTCAGTTTAGGGTTCACTGACACATGGGCATCTTCCCAAAACCGTGGTGCTCCCGCATGCCCCTAAATACAGTCGAACCCCCCACAAAGGGCACGCGTAACTTTCGGAAACCGGCCCCAACATGTAGTGATGGGACCCTCAACCCCCCGAAGCCCGCAAGGGAAAACGGCACCCTAAACCCTAAACCCTAAACCCTAAACCCTAAACCCTAAACCCTAAACCCGAAGAGAGCGTAAGGAAGATCCTCCTAAACAAGATCGACACTCTAAGGCATAGAGTGTGTCATCATAGAGACCCAAGAAGGGCCCCCCACACCCCAAAACCCCAAACCCCAACCTTAGGGTTGGGGGCTTGGGGTTTGGGGTTTAGGGTTTAGGGTTTATGGTTTAGGGTTTAGGGTTTAGGGTTTTGGGTTTAGGGTTTAGGGTTGGGGTTCCTAGGGTTTAGGGTTTAGGGCAGCCGGCCACAAATCCCCATGGGAGGCTAGGCCCGGCGCGGCAAAAACTTTGGCCGCTTGCAAATTCTGCCAGCTCCGGAGGGTGACGCCGAGGCGCCGAGTCTCGTCAGGCACGGTGGGCTTAGGGGCTTCCATAGGGGTTTCTGCGGATTCCGTAGGGTTTCGAGGGCTTCTGTAGGGTTTTTAGGGGCTCTGGAGCTTATAGGGTTTCTATTGGATTTCTAGTGTTTCGGGCTTGGGTTAGGGTTTGTGCTCATGCTTGTCTGCACCGCGCCGCCTTTGCCCTCTGCCGACACATAGCTTCACGAGAATTCAACCTGCATGCATGACTCACATTCTCCAGGTAAACCCTAAACCCTAAACCCTAAACCCTAACCCTAAACCCTCCAGGGGCTTCCACGCTTCTGCAACTGGACTTTCAAAACACGGCAGGGTCACGAGGATGCAATGCTCCACCGCATCCAAGCCTGAAAATAGGAGGAAGCATGCCCATGGCCATCGTTGGGGGTTCAGGGTTTAGGGTTCAGGGTTTAGGGTTTAGGGTTTAGGGTTTAGGGTTTAGGGTTTAGGGTTTAGGGTTTAGGGTTTCGGGTTTAGGGTTTAGGGTTTAGGGTTTAGGGTTTAGGGTTTAGGGTTTAGGGTTTAGGGTTTAGGGTTTAGGGTTTAGGGTTCAGAGTCCGCAGGCTCAGGCAGCCTGAACCCCTACCACCCTTCACCTGAACTTCTTGCGGCCAAGCTTCGGATCTGAGCCTCTGACCATGGCCTCAGGCAGACGGAGGGCTCGCAAGAGCTGCTCCCACGTCTTGAGGCGGTACCAGGCTCCACCCAACCCTAAACCCTAAACCTCTCTATCATAATGAATTTAAACCCTAATTCAAAAGTGGGCAACGGCGATTTCGGCTTCAAAAGTGGGCAGTGGTGAATTTCCTGGCCTCAAAAGTGGGCAATGGTGAGTTTCCTGAAGTGGGCAACGGTGACTTTCCTGGCCCCAAAAGTGGGCAACGGTGAATTTCCTGGCCTCAAAGGTGGGCAACGGTGACTTCCTGGCCCAAAAGTGGGCAACGGTGACTTTCCTGGCCTCAAAAGTGGGCAACGGTGACTTCCCTGGCCTCAAAAGTGGGCAACGGTGAATTTCGGCTTCAAAAGTGGGCAATGGAGAATTTCCTTTTCCCCGAGTTTTTTCAAGGTTTTTCAAGGTTTTTCAGAGTTTTTCAGTGTTTTTCAACATTTTTCAGGATGTTTCAGGGTTTTTAACCCTCAACCCCACGACCTTTTCACAGCCCAGTTTTGGTCAAAGAGGGGTCGCATTTTTCAATTTTAAAGGCAAAATAGTCTTCGGAGACCCCTCCTTGCCTCAAACTCCGACCCCCCCTTGAGATTTTTGACCAAAACCTAGCTTCACTGGCTTCAAGAATTTCAAGTTTTTTCAAGGCTTTTCAAGGTTTTTCAGATTTTTTCAATGTTTTTTACGGTTTTTCAAAGTTTTTCAGGGTGTTTCAGGATTTTTCCCTCAGTTCTGATAAAGGAGTGCCCCCGCGACCTTTTCACAGCCTAGTTTTGGTCAAGGGGGCGTCGCATTTTTCCATGTTAAAAGCAGAATAGTCTTCGGAGACCCCCCCTTGCCTCAAACTCCGACCCCTTGTTGGGAGGGAAAGTTTGCCTCCAAAAACACCCCAAATGAGGGGGACCCCAGGATCGGCCCGGGTCCCTATTAAAAATGCGATTTTTTTAGTACTGAAATCGACGGTTCTGGGTGGCCTCTCGTTTTCTGGGTTTTTGACCAAAACCGAGCCTTCACCGATAGGTTCGAGCCTATTGTGGGCCTTAGATTAGATTTCGGGTTTTGGGTCCGTTAAAACCTAACTACTGGGAATGTATTGAGCGAACTTTGTATTTTCTCAATGTTATGGGTTTCTTGGGTGGGTGGGCTTTTTTCCAACGCTTGACAAGCTGCTTGACTCGTGAATGCTCGGACTTGAGATGCTGAACCCTAAACCCTAAACCCTAAACCCGAAACCCTAAACCCTAAATCCCCCCCAAAAAAAAAATCAGGCACCCAAAAATCCAGAGGGCTTGCGAGGCAGGCCGACCAGAGGAACTGAGGGCCCCGGCCCCGTCGCTGTACAGCGGCCCCGGCCTTCATCCTTTTCGATTCCAGCGCGAGGCCTGTCTCTTCTGGCTGCTTCTTCAGTAGGGAATGTGGGAATGAGGGCCCTATAGAATCCCTTAAAGGGTATTTAGAGGGCCCTCATTCCCTCATTCCCTACTGAGAGCCAGGGGGTTTCTCACCAAAGGCACGGCGGCCACAAACAAGGGTCTGGGGCTTCAGGGCTTTAGGGCTTTAGGGCTTTACTTTAGGGCTTTAGGGCTTTAGGGCTTTAGGGCTTTAGGGCTTTAGGGCTTTAGGGCTTTAGGGCTTCAGGGCTTTGGGGTTTTGGGGCTTTGGGGCTTTAGGGCTTCAGGGCTTCAGGGCTTGAGGGCTTTAGGGCTTTAGGGCTTAGGGCTTCAGGGCTTTAGGGCTCTTAAGGAACCTGAGGCCCGAAACACTGGGCCCCAAACCCTAACAAGTCTCCCAAACAGGCTCCGCCGAGGGTTTCGGGGGGGCAGCGCGCGAAGCGCTGGGCCTTGCCATGCAGCCGAACACAACCTTGTGGATCGGTGCACCTCTGCTTTCCACTGGCCGGCCTTGCGCAGACTTGCGGTTGAGGGTTAAGGGGCCCTAAACCCTAAACCCTAAACCCTAAACCCTAAACCCCCCTAAAGTTACAGGGCATGCTGCGGAAGGACCGCAGAAGGCGTGTGGAAGGTTGCTCCAAAGGCGCACCCATCGTCTGATGATGTTCCGAATTCGCGAGACCTCCAAGAAGACGGCAGCCTCCCGCGGAAGAGGAGATCTCGCTTTTTTCAGAGCAGGCCCCAGTTACAGAGCAGGCGCAGGGTTGGAGGTTCAATGGTACTTCTTAACCAAGTATAGCCGTACTTATAGCTGTACCTGTAGCCATACTAGGGCACCTAAGGGGCTTATAAGTGGGTTATAAGTAGAGTTATAATTGGTAAATATGTGCCATGAACCTCCAAGCACTTACTGGCTCTAGTTGGGTCCATGGGCCCATGCCGGTCTCAGGCCGCAACAGATCTTGCCGCGACACAGCGGCGAGCAGCGTCTCGCCACACTTTGCAAGACTTGCGCCTTTCGGAAATATTTTGAGAACATGAGTGCATCATGCGCCCCCAGGACTTCGGAACCGGGTGTGGGACCCAAGGCAAAGGCGTTTTCTCGTGGCAAGGTCCGACAAACCTTGTGATCTCCTGGTCAGAGTGCGGAGCGACGCCAGGCACAGGGACATGGTGGTGTGAGCAGGCCTTGCTACTGTCCAGCTCTGCGCAAGAAATCTTTTCCGTCTGCAGACATTGTGGGCGTTCTGAGCTTTGGCCCATCGTGAAACAGACGCTCGGGCGTGTTCAGGACTCAAAAACCGCCTCAGAACTGGAGGGTGCCTGAAGCCAGGGAAGCTGGGGGGCCATGTCGGGGGCCATGTTGGGGGCCATGCCAAGGGCCTCCCGTAGTTCAGGCAGCCACTTCTCGCAGCCCGAGAGGTCTGGGGCGGGGAGCACCGCTTTTCCTTCAAAAGGTTTTGGGCACACTGTGATGAACTGTGGTGGCGCCGCGAGCTACAGGAGGCAGCCATCGCTCCTCCATTGGCCTCGGCATTCGGGCTCGCGGGGAGCGCGGCTTCTTGCTTCCACAGGCGGATTTCCGCCAGCACCTGAGCTCTCAGAGGACAGCACAGATGAATTGAAGACATAATTGTAGTGGATAAAATCATGGCTATACTTGCAACAGGACGACAGCGTCTCAGCTGCGGAGAAGCATCGAAACTGATGCGAATGCTGGTGCCGCCAAGGCACATGCTGCATCAGCTCGGGATCGCTGCGCTTGGCCTCCGCGTCATTCTCGAGACGCTCCAAGAGGGTGCTCACTTTGAAGGAGACGTCCTTCTGGCTGATGAGAAAGGGCCTTGGCTTGCTGATCTTGGTGCTGCCGGCTCGGAGGTTCCATGGCCCGTTATTTTGAGGGGGCTTCCCAAAATCGGGGTACCCTTCTGAGGGGTTCCTAGAATAAGGATTTGTAGTATTTGGGGGGTATATTGAGGTGGTACTCCTCTTTTGGGAAAGCCCCCGTGTAGAAGAGCCGAGCTGCACGATGTCCAGGTACTGGCTGGAGAAGAGCAGCATGTCAGCCACCACGGAATACTCGCGAACCCGCAACGCCATGTCCTTGCCATGTTTCGAGTTGGGAGTGAAGTACCGAGAGGCTTCAAGCCTAGGGCGTTTAGGGAAAAAAGGGAAACTGGTAGGGGGTCGGCTCAAAGAACTATTTAGAAGGTCTTTGGATTCTCGACCCAATGAACCTCCGAATTGGAAACCTGCTGATTTTGGGTTCTGATGTCTACAGTAGAGGCTTTAGCTTCTTGCACCCTTGGATGGAGGCTTCCGGACTGTAGGGTTCGGCGTCAAGGCGCAGGAAAGCCAGCACCGGTTGGCGGTTGCGGGTTTACGGGTCTGGGCACGACTACCCTAAGCCATAAGCCCCAAGCCCGAAGCCCTAAACCCTAAGCCCTAAGCCCTAACTAAACCCTAAACCCTAAACCCTAAACCCTAAACCCTAAACCCTAAACCCTAAACCCGAAACCCTAAACCCTAAACCCTAAACCCGAAACCCTAAACCCTAAACCCTAAACCCTAAACCCTAAACCCTAAACCCTAGAGAGGAGATGCTGGGGCCGGCGCCAAGCTCGCTTGCGTGGCCCAGGGCCTCTCCTTGTCGCTGTGCCGCGCCAGGTCCCGGAGCCGAAGCACGAGCTCCGGGGAATCGAGCAGCACCTTCTCTCTTGGAATGGAATGGGAATCTATATACTACTCAGAAAGTAGTAGTAGTAGTAGTAGTAGTAGTAGTAGTAGTAGTAGTAGTAGTAATACTAATATACTACTAATAGTAGTAATAATAATAGGAATAGTAATAGTACTAGTACTAGTAATAGTAATAATAAAAATAATGGTAGTAATAATAATCATAATAATAGTAATAGTACTAGTAACAGCAATAATAATAGTACTAGTAACAGCAATAATAATAGTAATAAAAATCATAATAGTAATAGTAATAGTAATAGCAATAATAATAGTAATAATAATAATAATAGTAGTAGCAACAGTAGTAGTAATAAAAAAAAAAAAAAATGGTAATAGTAATAGTAGTAGCAATCGTAGTAGTTATAATAATAATAATAATGGTAATAGTAATAGTAATATATATTAATATATAGTAATAAATAATAGTTAATTAGTAATAGTAAAGAATAGTAATAATAATAATAGTAATAAGTAATAATAGTATAATAGTAATATAGTAATAATATAATAGTGAAACAGTAGCATAAAGTAGCAATAACAATGATAGTAATTAGTATAGTAGTATTATAATAGAATAATTAGTAATAGTAAATAATATTAATAGTAATATAATAGTAATAATATAGTAATATAATAATAAAATAGTACTATATTCATAGTAGTAGTAACAGTTAATAGTATAGTAATAAGTTAGTAAGTAATAATAATAATATATAATACTACTAATAATAATAATAGTACAGTAATAAGAATAATCGTATAGAAATAGAAATAAAATAGTAATAGAAATTAATAGTATATAGTAATAGTAATAGTAATTAATATAATAATACTAATAATAATAATAATTGTAATAATAATAGTAATAGTAATAGCAATAGTAATAGTAATAGTAATAATAATAGTAATAGTAATAGTAATAGTAATAGTAATAGTAATAGCAATAGTAATAGTAATAGTAATAGTAATAGTAATAGTAATAGTAATAGTAATAGTAATAGTAATAATAATCGCAATAATGATAGTGAGAGTGATTGTACTTGTCTCATACTAGCAATAAGAAGGATCATAATCTAGTTCATAGTCATAATTTTCATTTTTATTATGATTGTGTTTCTGATTTTTCTTATTCTTACAAACTACTACTATAACGATACAATCATGTACTGATGTAAGAATATCGATAATGGTATTTTACATAGCTGTATAATAGAGAGCTGATGATGCCTTGAGTGGAGAAATTCTGCAAACTCAGGCCGTCACGTGGTAATGCAAGAGCTGCTGAAGCATGTGCTCCTGCCTCGGTTCACCCGACAGCAAGCACATGTTCACGCAAGACTGGAGTGCGTTGTGAGACTCCGCCATCGTCCACCCCCTAAACCCGAAACCCTAAAGCCCGAACCCTAAACCCTAAACCCCCAGCTGCCTGAAGTACACGCACAAGTCGAAGACGAAGCATTGGAGGATCTTGTGAGGAAGGATCTGGAGGCCAAGTAGGCTGCGCAGGTAGGAGATCACCACGGACAGTATGTATGGGCTGCCCAGGGGCATGTCCTTGTGCTCACGGGCCTCGAAAGGAATATGCCAGTCGGCCAGGGAGAAGGTCTCCGAAGCAGGCGCAACACTCTCCTTCTCCAGCTCGGTCGCCATGAAGTGTGGATAGAAGACCTGCGTGACCATGTCCTTCTCAGACAGCACCGACTGGTAGGTGATCTGAGCCTCCAGCTCCTGGAGGGAGATGCTCGCGCGCGCGCCGGAGCCGGAACACCGCTGGGACATGGACTCGATGACTTGCCGGTACGCCGTGTTGAGGACCTGGAAGCCTTGCACGAGCTCGGCGGATCGGGTTTTCGCAGCCAGGGCCTTCCGCAGCGTCTGAACCACGTGCTCTCTGCAGCCGGAACGCCGGAGCAGGAGCTTCAGCACGGAGCCCACGTCAAAGGGCGCCTGCGCAAGGAAGTCGCTCAGAATCGCTCCCATGTTGAGGCGAAGCTGGTGGACGGTGCCGGCGCGCGAGTCCAGCACAATGCCGCCACACAGGTAGTCCCAATCCAACCAGGAAGAGGCCTGCGAAGGGTCCTGAGCCATCTTAGGATCCAGGCCATGTTGGCTGACCAACCTGAGAACGGAGTCATTCTCCTTTTGCCGAATGTCGTAGACCATACTCACCATCCTCTGGCGTCTCTTTGATTCGCTTTCTTAAAAAACAGACATCGTGCAGAGATGAGAGCTGTTTCCGGGAGCAAGTACGGGTAGTCGGGAGAACACGTCACTTCCTTAAGAAACAAAAAAAATCTGCACGATGTCCTCTCTATGCAGTGCACGACCAAGAGATTGTCAACGACGGATAGCCGGAGCGGGCCGAGCGGGGCCTCTTGCTCGGAAATGTCAATGACGATATCATGTTCGGGAGTACCCTTTTCCAGATTCGTAACATTGCGCAGGGAGACTTTGCCATTTGATCCATCTGCATGGATGCAGTAGGTGCAATCGTATATGGTCATGAGGGCGACATCACCGGGCTCAATAGACTGGCCGCGACTCAGAACCAAGTCAAAGCGAGGAAGCTTGGAGTTCCTGCGCCGAAAGTCATACGGCTGCAAAGTCCGCGAGCCGGTGCAGACAAGGGTGGTCGCTGCAGATGGCTCCAACCAACAAACCCTCACAGGAGTTGGAAACGATCGAGTCGACCTTGCTGTTCTTTGGTCAAAGCTGAGCCGGAACACTTCAATGCCCTGGCTCGTGACCAAAGCCAGATCGCTCGAATCTTGCCTCAGCTTCACACATGGGCCGAAGAGAGCTAGACGGTCAGTGCCTGGCCGAGACACTCGCCGGGCAACCAGAAGAATGCCAAGATCTCAAAGTCCGACTGCGCAGCGTGAACAAGTCTCATCACATGCCCGGCTACCCCTAAACCCTAAACCCTAAACCCCAAACCCTAAACCCTAAACGTCTCTAAGGCGAGAAGGCATCCGAGCCCTGTCTACAGTTGTGGCCTTCCAGACTTTGTTCTAGCTTCCACTACCTACGTAGGCAGATAAAGGTGGGTCGTACTCCAAACTAGGGTCCCTGTGAAAGTCCGGTTTAGAAGGTACTATCTATGGGACCCCAAAACAGGAACCCAATTTAAAGAGTCATTGAAAATGGGATCCCTGTCTGGGGGGGTCCTTTTAGTATCGAAGCTACTATCTGCGGGACCCAAACAGGGAATTCTCATGCCAAGAACTGCACAGGTTGCCTTGCTGCTCCATTTGCTTGATGGCCAGATCGGCTGCTGATTGGGCCTTGCAGAGATTCGGAGGTGCGGCCGCACGCAGGAAACGTGATCACAAGATTGTATCGTAGTATCAGAATATCAAGAATGTCATAAGGTCATGAGATCATAATATCATGATACCATACTGAGCCATACTGTCATAAGATCATAATATAATAATAGCATACTGTCATACAATCATAAAATCATAATATCATTTATTGTAAATATGAACTGATATATTAACATATGGAACCATAACCATTTCTATACATATATTATTACTACATGTACTAATACAATGATGTAGCAGTATAGCTATAGATGACTGTCATGAAATACGTATATAATGAAATAATATTATTGCAATATAATCGATACGAATACAATATTATGTTGAAACATATTATATTATGTTCACAACATATAATATAATACAAAATAATTCAGTACAATACCAATAAAAGATTTTGGGGCCACTGGGGCGCCGGCTGCATCGTTCGCAAGCATCCCAAGCGCTTCTCGCACAGGAAGGCAAAGCAAAGCCCGTCGGGAGAGAACCGTACAGATCGCACGTCATAGTCCAAAGCCACATTCAGCCCATCCGGAGGGGACGCTGAACTGTTACTGTCGATCACATCTGCTGTGGTAAAGCCACCTGGCTTGATGTGCACGATCCTTGGATTGAACCCCAACCCCCCTGCTCCAAAAAGCTCAGTCCAAATCGCGACGAGGCTTGCTGCAATAGACATCCTAACCGAAGAGTGGAAACTGAGCTCCGTGCCTGCGGTGTACTTCATCGAAAGTGATGAGTTCGTTGGCTTCTGGCTGCCAGCGATAGACAGGATCGGACAGCTGCAGGGGTCTTTCTTGGCCCATAACACAGGCATTCAGAAAGACCAAGCACCTGGATATTTTTATGTTTGTAAGATGATCACATGCTACCCACGTGGCATGAGACTGCAACGTGTTTTTGAAGACTTAAAGATGTGTACGAAATCGTAGGTCCAGCTACTGGAAGCTGAAAGGAACTCACAAGTGAGCCAAGCCAGCAGCATCCAACATGGGTTTAGGGTTTAGGGTTTAGGGTTTAGGGTTTAGGGTTTAGGGTTTAGGGTTTAGGGTTTGGGGTTTAGGATTAAGGGTTTAGAGTTTAGGGTTTAGGGTTTAGGGTTTAGGGTTTAGGGTTTAGGGTTTAGGGTTTAGGGTTTAGGGTTTAGGGTTTAGGGTTTAGGGTTTAGGGTTTAGGGTTTAGGGTGTCGGGCTTCGGGCTTAGGGTTTGGGGCTTCGGGTTGAGGGCGAAAAATGATGGGCTGGTAGCCACATGGAAGATTACTCCACTAACCCTAAGCCCTATAAGCCCTAAACCCTAAACCCCAAAAAAACCATTGTTTCGACCCCCACCCGCTCCCTCCCCCCCACGTGTCAGAGCCACTGCTTCGCGCACCTTCTTTCCTGACGTGCCACGCTTCTCCAACCAGTGACCCATCGCCTCAGGCCTGGCACAAGGCGTCGGGTTTGGGGTTTAGGGTTTAGGATTTAGGGTTTAGAGTTTAGGGTTTAGGGTTCAGGGCTCAGGGATCTTAGTTTAGGGCTCGGACAAGCCGAAAGCCGCGCGAAACGTGGCTGTGCGACGGGTGGCTGTGAGGAACAATCCCAAGGCCTTGGCACCTGGAAAAGGGTCCAGGGTAAGGTTTGGGGGTTTCGGGCTTGGGGGTTTTAGGGTTTTTGTTCGGGTTTAGGGTTTAGGGTTTAAGGTTTAGGGTTTAGGGTTTAGGGTTTAGGGCTTCGGGTTTAGGGTTTAGGGTCTAGGGTCTAGGGTCTAGGGTCCAGGGTTGAGGGTCCAGGGTTTAGGGTTTAGGGTTTAGGGTTTAGGGTTAGAAGGGCTTCGGGCGGGTTTTCGGATGGACGGCAAGACCCAGACACTGGCCTCGACGGCGGAGTCCACCCTTTGCACCGCGGAGCCTCGAAATCGTCAGCTCGGAGAGTACCAATAGTAGGGCTTAACAGGGTTTAGGGTTTAGGGTTTAAGGTTTAGGGTTTAGGGTTTGGGGTTTAGGGTTTAGGGTTTAGGGTTTAGGGTTTAGGTTTCGGGTTTAGGGTTTAGGGTTTAGGGTTGGGACGTTCCCCCTTATACTAATAGTTGTGAATAGGGATTAAGTACTTTCTATCATGATCCCGATTGAGGACTGTTAGTCTAAGAGGACATCCCGAGTAGCAGTAGTAGCCATCGTAAGAATACTAATCATAGCAATAAGAGCAACAATGGTAATCATAGTAAAGCAGTCATCGTAGAAATAGCAGTAAGAGTAAGCATCGTAATCGAAACCGTAAAGATGGAAGTTATAATATTTACATGAATCAACGTAACGCAGAATCAGAGTATCAATAGTACTAGCTGTACTAGCGACATTGGAAGCATTTGAAAGAGTAGTGGCAGTAGCATGAAGAAGCACAGTAATAGCTATAACAGTAACAACAATAATAATCGTAAAAACAAGTTACTACTAGCAATGATACTGATAGTAGCAATAATCGTCGTCATCGTAGTCATGGTAATAACAGCAACAATAGCAAGTAGACCAAGAACAATACCAGAATAATCAAGTAATCATAATAACAATGATGGCAAGAAAAGCAAAAGACGAAAAAGATGGAACAATAGTGGCAATACTAACAAGGAAGACGAGTAGCAAAAGCGGATATATGTCATGATAGTAGTAATAGCAATGGGCGCAACCGTAGCCCGGAGATTGCAACTCGCAGTGCCTCCAGACACCGAGCGCTTGTCGAACGCGACTTTGGTGGCGCGCGTCCACCCACCGAATGACGGCCTCGCAGGTCACCCCCTCCCACGTAAAGTCTAAGCCGTAACCCTCAACCCGAAGGTCCTAAAGCCTACACCCTAAACTGTAAAAGCAAAAGGCGCGAGCCGAAATCCTAAACCCGGAGCCATAAAAGCAAAAGGCGCGAGCCGAAAGCCCAACCCCTAAACCATAAAAAGCAAAAGGGCCCAGAGATGGTGAGGCACGCGAAGCCGAAACCCTAAACCCTAAACCCTAAACCCAAAACCCTAAACCCTAAACCCCCTCAACCCTAAACCCTAAACCCTAAACCCGACCGAAACCCTCACCCTAAACCCTAAACCCTAAACCCCCCCCCCCCCAGCACCCGAAGCCGCCTGCGTGATGCGGTGGGTCCGCGCTGAACTCCACCGCCAGTGGCCCACGAGCGCTCCGAAGCTTCTCCTGGTCAGCGCCTGCTTTAGGGTTTCTAGGGTTTAGAGTTTAGGGTTTAGGGTTTAGGGTGTAGGGTTTAGGGTTTAGGGTTTAGGGGTAGGGGTTGGGGGCTAGGGTTGAGGTCAGTTCAAGTCTGCGACACCAGCTGACCGTTAGATTGGCAGGGCAGCAAGAAAAGCGCATCTCAGGCGCGTCCCTTTTTTTCTCCGCTTCTCCAGCTCAACCAGTAAAAACTGAGACTTAAACGATCATCAGTTCTTTCTCCCTGTAGTCCGGGTTCCTGCCCTTGTAGGCATCAAAGAGCTCCTTCAGCTTCTCACAGTAGATCCCGTGCCACTTCTGGATGTCTTCCTGGGGCGCACCAGCTGGGGGGGGGTTCCGAAAATGGGAGGTACCCTTTTTGGGGGTCCCTTTTACAAAATGAAAAGCAGACACTCAGACACTCAGACACTCAGACTCTCAGACAGTCAGACAGTCAGACGATCAGACAATCAGACAATCAGACAATCAGACAGGCAGACCGTCAGACAGTCAGACCGTCAGACCGTCAGACAGGCAGACAGGCAGACAGTCAGACAGTCAGACAGTCAGACAGTCAGACAGTCAGACAGTCAGACAGTCAGACAATCAGACATGTTCTCTTGGAGGAGACTTGGGTACGAGACCCCCTCCGCGACCTCAATCTATTTTTAGGGATTCTATTCCATTTGGGGTACAAAAGGGGTAACCTCCCCCCCGCCCCCCAATTTTGGGAAACAGCCAGATCTCAACCATCAAAGCATCGATGCACTAATCATGCGCAACATATGCGGTACAGATGCACACGGCAGCCGGGCTGCAGGGGTCGGATTTGGTATGTGAGGCATTCCCAGCGGTCGCCCGCGGACGTAGGTCAACGGCCTCTGATCTCTGCAGTAGCCCTGGACTGTGGACGCCCTCAACCCTAGCCATGGGTGTGTATCTCTCAACCCTAAACCCCAAACCCTAAACCCTAAACCCTAAACCCCAAACCCCTAAACCCCAAACCCCTAAACCCCAAACCCCTAAACCATACAGTAATGACCCATCATGCCAGCCGGGCTGCACAGCCTTCGGCAGAGGCAAACCAAATCTGCCCCAAAACAGCGTGACCTGGGCCAACTCTTAGGGTTTCGGGTTTCAGGTTCAGGGTCTTGGGACATCTGAAGGGTTTAGAGTTTAGGGTTTAAGGTTTAGGGTTTAGGGTTTAGGGCTTAGGGCTTAGGGCTTAGGGCTTAGGGCTTAGGGCTTAGGGCTTAGGGCTTAGGGCTTAGGGACCAGGAGAGCCAACATGCTGCCACAGAACGGACACACCCAATGTGCGGCTCAGGGATGCCAACGGCCCCCACGTCAACGCCGACAGGACCGTCGTATTCCTTGCAAGAGTGCAGCAAGAAACCCCCCCAAAACCCACCCTTCCTTGCGGTTTTAGGGTTTAGGGTTTTGGGGTTTAGGGTTTAGGGTTTAGGGTTTTGGGGTTTAGGGTTTAGGGGTTTAGGGGTTTAGGGGTTTAGGGGTTTAGGGGTTTAGGGGTTTAGGGGTTTAGGGGTTTAGGGGTTTAGGGGTTTAGGGGTTTAGGGGTTTAGGGGTTTAGGGGTTTAGGGGTTTAGGGGTTTAGGTGTTTAGGGGTTTAGGGGTTTAGGGGTTTAGGGGTTTAGGGGTTTAGGGGTTTAGGGGTTTAGGGGTTTAGGGGTTTAGGGGTTTAGGGGTTTAGGGGTTTAGGGGTTTAGGGGTTTAGGGGTTTAGGGGTTTAGGGGTTCCTTGTGAAGAATCCTACGAGGGGCTTGTGTGGCAATGACCTACAACAAAAGGTGGGGTTCCGGGGTTCTTACAGTAGTCGGCACAAGGGGAGCACACTGCTGCAGCCCTAAACCCTGAACCCTAAACCCTAAACCCTAAACCCTAAACCCTAAACCCTAAACCCTAAACCCACTGCTGCGGCCCAAAATCCCGAACATGTACACCGGGATCACATCTGCGCCCGTGCGCAGCGCCAGCTTGATGAACCTCAGAAGCACGGGCAGCACCCAAAAAGCAACGAGTCTGAACCCTAAACCCTAAACCCTAAACGCTAAACCCTAAACCCTAAGCAACCCAGGTACTCCCTGAACCCTAAACCTTAAACCCTAAAAAACCTAACTGATGACCTGGTGCGCCAAGATCCCAACAGCGTTTAGGATTAGGGGAAGGGCTTCGGACGCATGCACGCACAGGCCACACGCACACGCGCACGCACACACACAAACACACGCACGCACACACCCACAAACACAGACGCACTTGAAGGAGTTAGCTAGAAGCTCGATCACTGAATAAAATCGTTTGGGAAGAGGAAGCGCAGTTCGTGATCGATGAGCAACTCGTGCAGCTACGTTTACACAAACATTGAAGACCGTCTTCGTTGGCCCAGGACTCCTAAATGTTCGGCAGTCCACCAGTGCAATCCAGCGGCCCAGCTCGTTGCTTCAGGTAGACGGCTTCTCGCTTCGGACTGGAAGAGAATAGCTCCACGATACCGCCCACATACAGCACAACCACTCCTGCATATTGCGGCCGAGACAAGGTACCAGAGACGTAGCAAAAAGACGTGAGCAAGCTTTTGATTGACACTGGCATGGTTGCTGTCGAAATGCAGCGATTCTTTCAGCTCATTGACACCACAACACTGAACATTGTCAACGCCACGGTCAACGGCTGCAGCACTGGTTGACGTGCCCACTCCTTTTCTTGACGTGAGTGACAATCATGCTTCATGCAGCTCTAAGCACACAGATGCAATTAAAGCTTGACCTGGATCGCCCTCGCTTTATGCAAGTCATTGCCAGGAATATGGATGTTCCCCCTTTTTCTAACAGTCCTGAAATAGGGATCCTGGTACCTCCTATTTGTATCCCTATTGAGGACTGTTAGTACACAGGACCTTTTCACTCTAAGCATCTCTCAGCGCCCTAAACCCCCCCAAACCTACTGTCAAACACCCTCATCCCGGCTTGCGACAGCCCCTTCCCAGACCCTCCCGGAGCTTGGGCGGGGGAGGGTCAAGGGACCCCTGTCCAGGTGGTTTTCGCTTGCGAAACAACCGCAACGTAGGATCCAAAAACTCGATCCCCTTAAGGGTTCCTGACAATGGCCCAAGAGTAGTACAGGATACTATTTGGGGGGTTTACGATATTAGGGGTCCCTTATTGGCGTCCTTATTATAATGGAATCCTACTGTTTGGGGGTCTATATTTGGGTCCCTGATTTTTTGTAAACTCCTATTTGGGGGGCTCTACGTTTTGGATTTTTCCAGGGCTCTCCCTAAACTCTAAACCCTAAACCCAAAACCCTAAACCCTAAATCCTAAACCCTAAACCCTAAACCCTCTCCCACGCCGGCCTTTGCATTTGGACCGCAGCCTCTTGCTCAAAGTGTCGCTGCTGGCGTCCTGAGAGGCTTGTGGGGCTCAGGGTTTTTGGGCCACGCCATTCCTCGGGGCCTTTTAGAAGTTTTAACCCTAAACCCTAAACCCAGTTTTGCGGGGTTGGAGGTGAACTGCAAAATTGTGCTGGTCCAGGCTTCGATCAAGCCGAACATCCCGATCACATCTTTCAAGATGGGAAAGTACCTGGGTTGCTTGGGGTTTAGGGTTTAGGGTTTAGGGTTTAGGGTTTAGGATCTAGGGTCCCTTGTAAGGAAAGGGAGGAAATTAAAAATTATCCCAAAGCACAGCCGAGGTACTTCATGATGGATGCAGCAGCCGTCGGAGCTTCCTCAGCAGAGGGAAGTGGTGTTGAGGACGGGCAAGCCACACCAAGGTTCGTTCGCACTGAAAGACTAGCCCCCCCCCCCCCCCCCCCCCCCCCCCCCGCCACATGAGGCCGAAATCAACCCCTAAAAAAGCCTCATATGGGCCTTGTTTCTGAGGTGGGTTCGTATTGTAGGATCCTATGGCCGCTGCAAACCACATACTCTTATTAGAAAGTCAGGGGCACCGTATCTTCATAAATACTGGTCTCTTAAGGATACTTGTGAGCCGAGGCGCCCTTGGTAGGGCGGCGCCAAAGCCATCTGCAGCATTCTGCGTCGCAACCTGGCAAAGGCAAGAGCGCTGCAAGGGTACTGCAGGATGACGTCAGAAACCGGGTTTAGGGCTTCGGGTTTCGAAAAGCACGAGAAGGAAAGTAGAAAAAACTACGAGGCGAAACTGGAAAGCACGCCTCGAAATAACAAGCAAATCAGACAAACAAGCCGCTGTAAAAAATGAAATATAGAAAAAGGCAAGCGAGCAGAAACTCCGAAACAAAAGACCCGATAGACTCGAACAACCCTAAACCCTCTTCCCTAGCCTAAACTCTACATGGTCAGGTCTCTAAATTATGGTCCCTTTTTGGACACCCCAAATATTACGTAGGGGCTTAGAAATAGTAGCACATCTCAAAGCACTCGACTGAAGGGAACAACAACCCTACTTATGCTAATGTTAAACATGTATTCAATAACATATCGTTCACGTGACCGCACCCAAGAATTATCACTCGGGTATAATTTTCTAAGGGCGTGTAACAAGACGAGAAACCCCATCTTTCCCCTTTTCCTCAATTCACTTGGAGTTTTGGATCGTTGTTTTCACTTCGTTATTCAATTGAGGATTCGTTCAATAATCTTGTAACCGGTTCTTTGTTCGCTCGCTCGAACACTTCGCTTCGCTCTCGCTTATTAATATTCATGTTGTCCTGTGAAGAGCGTACTTGTGGAGATTTTGCGAAGAGAACAAGATACACTAATCGCTCTTGTTAGCTTTATTCCTCTTATCGTTCTTATTTCTCTCGAAACTTTACTCGTTTGGCTCTTGTTACTCTTATTCCAACTATTGCTCTCAGTACTCTTGTTACTCTTTCTACTCTTATTGCTCTTCTTGCTTTGATTGGCCCTATTACTCCCAGTATTCCTATTGCTCCTATTGCTCTTACATATCCTGCTACTCCTGCTTCGCCTGTTACTCCGATTACTCCCATTACTCCTGTTATTTCTGTTTCTCCTACTACTCTTGTTCGTCCGCTCCCCCCTCTTATTACTCCTAGTACTCCTATTACTCCTGTTACTTTTGTTACTCCGAATACGCTGACTACTCTGGATACTCTTACCGCTCTGACTACTTTGGTTACTCTTCTTGCTCTTCTCTTTTGTTGCTATCAGTGACCCTAAACCTTAACGCCTAAACCCTAAACCCTAAACCCCAAACCATGTTCGCAGCTCAGCCCGGTGCGGCGGCACAGACAGCTGTGAAGGGGAAGATGCCATGGGGATGCGCTGCAACGATGAAGCTTCGATCGTCGTGACGGACCTCACCTTCAGCAAATGCCAGAGTTTAGGGGTTCGGGTCTCGGGTTTAGGGTTTAGGGTTTAGGGCTTAGGGTTGAGGGTTGAGGGTTGAGGGCTGAGGGTTGAGGGCTGAGGGTTTAGGGTTGAGGGTTGAGGGTTTAGGGTTAGGGTTTAGGGTTTAGGGCTTAGGGTTTCCCTCATCTGTTCAGCGCTGCATGACAATTGACACCGAAAACCAAACTTACCAGTTCTTGATAGGGAGTTAACCCCAAACCCTAAACCCTAGACCCTAAAGTATCCGGGAACTACTGGGCACCCAGGAACCTTCTACGCCCTACACCCTAAGCCCTACAGAACCCTTCAAGAAGGGATCCGTTCGGGTCCTGTACCCAAAATTCCCGGCTTCCCTTCCAAAAACGAGTTAAGAAGATTCTAATCCTGAACCCTAAACCCTAAACCCTAAACCCTAAACCCCAAACCCTAAACCCTAAACCCTGAACCCTGAACCCTAAGCCTCCGAGCTGCTGTCCGCAATCTCATGGTACTCCTCGTACTCGAAATACTTCGGCACCCTGGGTAGGGTTGAGGGTTTAGGGTTTAGGGTTCAGCGTTCAGCGTTTAGGGTTTAGGGTTTAGGGTTTAGGGTTTAGGGTTTAGGGTTTAGGGTTTAGGGTTTAGGGCTTGGGGTTTAGGGTTTAGGGTTTAGGGTTTAGGGTTTAGGGCATGCCCTGTTGCAGAGTCTCCGAGAACAGCTGAAACCATGCTTGTTGCTGCTCATGTGTATGTACTTGTATCTACGAACACTTTTGTACGTACGTGTACTTCTACCTCTCTCCCTTGACCCCAAACCCTAAACCCTAAACCCTAAACCCTAAACCCTAAACCCTAAACCCTAAACCCTAAACCCTAAACCCTAAACCCCAACCCTAAACCCTAACCCTAAACCCTAAACCCTAAACCCTCAGGCGGGCGGCTGCTGCATCGGCCAGGATGTGAGCACGAGGTGGCCCAGTCGTTGTATGACACGGTCCGGCGTCAGCATCGACACAATCAGCCTCGGAAGAGCAGGCCCAAGGAGAGAACCTAATCGTAGTAAAATTAATACTACTTTATAATGCTATCATTACTAAGAAGAGTATTACTCTTATAAAATATTAAGCCCTACTTCACGTGGCCACTTGCGGCAGGAAAAGTCTTGGATAGCACACTGACTGCAATTGAATGCATGCGAGTCTCGGCGAAAGCAAGCCCCATGAACCCACCCAAAAAGGGTGTCTAAGCAGGGATCCGACGGAGACTGTTGCCTCAGATCATCGCAGGAGCGAAAGCAGAGCGCTGATGAAAGAGCCCGAAAGCAAGAGACAGAGAGAGACAGAGCCAGAGAGAGAGGGAGAGAGAGACATAAAGACAAAAAGAAAACCGCTAAACAACCCAGCAGAAACGTCGACTCTGCAATCTGAGGTCGTACAGCGGGGCAACGACATACACCAGGGACCAGATCGAAGCTGCTAGAAAGCCGACGAGGTGCTCCTTACGCGCAGAGGCAGCGGCTGACGTCAGACACGGAAGAACGAGAGAAAATTGACGGCTTTCAAGTTGCATCAAGAGATTTTTAAAAAATTAAAATAAACCAATTTCTAATTGCATCAAGAGACTGCCTGCGTTCCTCCCCTAAAGCACCGCGTGGGCTTGTCCAGCACCATCGCGTCACTGAGCCACGATGGACCGGACCCGGAAAGCCGGGAGGCTACGCTGCGTTAGGGTACGAGCCTCGGAGAGCATAATATCATACTGTAACGTAAGAATGTACGAGTGTAGTAATAATCATAAAGTATGTTCTTAGCAAAAAACAAAAAAACTGAAACATACCCCAACACCGGACTAAACCCTCGCTTGTTTACACGCTCTATGATGTGCACAGAGCAAGTGAAGAATTGGTCGTTTTCGCCAATGTTCGCCTCTCTCCTCAGGCTGCTAACCCTTCAATTGCTTCGATACGGCTGCTTCGGTGCACTTTCTGTAGAGACCAGATGGAGTTCCAGCGTCAATCTTAGAAAAATCCGGCAAGCTCTGCTGGAAGGCAGAAGCGTCCGCAATGGAAAGCACACAGAACTCGCGCCTGACAGCGAAACTGCAGGCAGACCTCGGCGCAGAGCAAGTCCGAAACCCCTAAACCCTAAAGCCTGAACCCTAAATCCAAACCCTAAACCCCTGAACCCTGAAACTCGGGCGCAAGCATTCCTGATGAGCCTTCTCGCGCTGCTTCCCGCCGCGAGCATCCGCCACAGAGACAGGACCCTCTGCAGCACTCCCATGAGTTTCGCAGAAAGGTATAGACTGATGCCAGATACTGTAACATATGTATATAATAATAATCATAATAGCAACAATAATAACAATAAAAAATAAGAACAATCATTATTATTTTTATATTATACATAGACTATTATTTGTATTATCATTATTATTATTGTTCTTATTATTGTTACTACTGTTATCATTGGGAAAGTCGCCCCTGCCTCCCGACATGGCGAGATCTGTACCACCTAGGTTTGTCACTCCCGCATCCAAGCATTGCAGATCCGTGTTCCACTTCTCCCATCTGCTGGACGAGGGTTTTGGGTTTAGGGCTTGGGGTACAGGGTTTAGGGTTTAAGGGTTAGGGTTTAGGGTTTAAGTTTGATGGTTTAGGGTTTAGGGTAGAGTCTCATCTCTGCAACACTGAGGCGAAGACTCACGGACATCGCCAAGGCCTCATGCGAGTTGCCGTGCCCCGACAACCCCGTGAAACATCGCGAAGCCACATCCCGAGGGCTGAGCGCGACAGCTGGAGCCACTGAGGCACATCCTCCTGCACTCAGACGGCTTTACTGAGCTGGCAAGCTCGTGCATCGAACAGGGTGCTTACGAACATAGGGGACTCCCAAAATAGACCCCCCAAATAGTAGGATCCCCTTATGCTAAGGACCCCAATAAGGTACCCCTAGTATCGTAAGCCCCCAACGAGGACACAAAGGCATCTGCAACCCGGACCTCTTCTTCGATGGAGGCAGCCGGCACGGAAGAAAGCGAGCACAAAGAACCGGCAAAAGGATGGGTTTGATCATCCGCGTTGGTCTCTGCCTGCACGTGGCCAGTGACCAAGAAAGAACCAGCCGACGAACCGGTCCGTCGGCTCCTAAATTAAGGTCCCTTTTTGGGGTTACGCCGGCTGCGTATGATAATGCGGAGCCTTGTACTAAGGCACCCACAAAAGGGGTCCAGTACTTAACGCGACCTCCATAACGGAATGGCTCCATGCCAAGACAAGCTACGTGCTTTGTCGAGTCCATTGGAAGGGATTGCAGGGGTTCTGACAATGCCTGGAATTAGGAAAGAAAGCCTGCGTACAGTCTAAAGAGAGGTGAACCTCATGCTTCACCCTGAAAAGCGTGGCCTTTCACAACGATAGTCACACGAGTCGCAGCCTGAGGGACGTTTGGAACAAGCGAGCCAAACGTCTGGCTTCCTTCCCTACTTCCGTTGACCATACTTCCTTTCCTCAGCTTGAACCGCAATTAACAGCACGCCTGTCTCAGCTCTATCATTGAGACGTTGAGATCGTAGTGCTCATCATCGGAAGTAACATGTCGTCTGCACAGGAACCCAACGACTCTGTCGAACCATGCCGGATGCCTCACACACTCGCACCACAGGAGCGTGATCTACAGCACGGATGACAACAATCTCCCCGGAGCTACCCCATCGACGATACTTCCTTTCCTCAGCTTGAACCATAGTTAACAGCACGCCTGTCTCAGCTCTATCATTGAGACGTTGAGTTGTAGTGGCTCATCATCGGAAGGAATATGATGTCTGCACAGGAACCCAACGACTCTGTCGAACCATGCCGGGTGCCTCACACACTCGCACCACAGGAGCGTGACCGAAAGCACGGATGACAACAATCTCCCCACAGCTACCCCATCGACGATACTTCCTTTCCTCAGCTTGAGCCATAGTTAACAGCACGCCTGTCTCAGCTCTATCATTGAGACGTTGAGATCGTAGTGCTCATCATCGGAAGGAATATGACGTTTGCACAGGAACCCAACGACTCTGACGAACCATGCCGGATGCCTCACACACTCGCACCACAGGAGCGTCACCGAAAGCACGGATTACAACAATCTCCCCGGAGCTACCCCATCGACGATACTTCCTTTCCTCAGCTTGAACCATAGTTAACAGCACGCCTGTCTCAGCTCTATCATTGAGACGTTGAGATCGTAGTGCTCATCATCGGAAGTAACATGTCGTCTGCACAGGAACCCAACGACTCTGTCGAACCACTCGCACCACAGGAGCGTGATCTACAGCACGGATGACAACAATCTCCCCGGAGCTACCCCATCGACGATACTTCCTTTCCTCAGCTTGAACCATAGTTAACAGCACGCCTGTCTCAGCTCTATCATTGAGACGTTGAGTTTGTAGTGGCTCATCATCGGAAGGAATATGACGTCTGCACAGGAACCCAACGACTCTGTCGAACCATGCCGGATGCCTCACACACTCGCACCACAGGAGCGTGACCGAAAGCACGGATGACAACAATCTCCCCACAGCTACCCCATCGACGATACTTCCTTTCCTCAGCTGGAACCATAGTTAACAGCACGCCTGTCTCAGCTCTATCATTGAGACGTTGAGATCGTAGTGCTCATCATCGGAAGTAACGTGGCGTCCGCAGGAACCCAACGATCTGATGAACCAGACAGGACAACCAGCAAGACGACGGCTGCGCACTCAACAATTTTGACGAACCAGGGGCACGGGTCATGTCGCACCGCAATCAAACCGGTCACGCATGCGTGTCGTAGATGCTTCCTCCATCAGCCCGCAACATGACATCACATTTGGCTCAGCTCTATCACTGACACATCGAAATGCGAGCTTACGATATTAGGAATAGCCTCTGATGTCTTTATTATAAGGGGATCCTACTATTTGGGGGTCTATATTAGGGTCTCCGATTTTCGTAAACCCCCCCATCAGAGTGCTCATCATACAGAGGACACGACCCGGAGTACAAAGCCAGCAAGGCAATGCACAAACCGCAGATTTGCTTCGGAGCATCCTGCTATGCAAAGAAATCCTGTTGTATAAGAAAGCCGGCGGTCGTCTGATTTCATACAACCTGGAAGCCCCGAAGCATGACGCCGCGTGCCTCTTTCCATTCTGACCAAAGCTCGGCCATTCGTCGACGAACGCAGCGTTGCAAAGCGAAGAGCCTGATACACGGGCTACCACACGTCGTGAACCCTATCTGCCAGCTCAAAAGACTCCAATGTTGTCGACAATACATACATGTGTTTAATTATTCATTCATGTACAGTTTCATGCATTTACTTATCTGTTCATTGGTTCATGCTGCCTAACTAATCCACAACCCCCGGAAGGCAGTTGTCTCTCCGCAATTCAGACGATAGGAGCGTGCGGGTCGGAGGTTGCGGTTGTCTTATTTAGGGTTTTGGGTTCAGGGTTTAGGGTTTAGGGTTTAGGGTTTAGGGTTTAGGGTCCAGGGTTTAGGGTTTAGGGTTTAGGGTTTAGGGTCTAGGGTTTAGGGTTTAGGGTTTAGGGTTTGGGTTCAGGGTTTAGGGTTTAGGGTTTAGGAGTCTACCGGACCTGCCACGTGTCCATCAGATGGTAAGCGGGTAGATCCCTAGACTCAGACCCTAAACCCTCAACCAAAGCTAGCCGCCAGATAAGAGCCCCCTAAACCCTAAACCCTAAACCCTAAGCCCTAAACCCTAAACCCTAAACCCTAAAACCCTAAACCCTAAACCCCAAACCCTAACGTCTGAAAGCCGGGTCGCACTGCGCTACTGTCAACATGGCACCCTGCTTGCAGCCGGGAAGAGCCTCAACTTCTAACACGGTTCTTCCCTTATCTGGAGGTTTCCGACAGTAGGCGTACCTTATTGGGGTCCTAAGTGGATCCTACTATTTGGGAACTCTATATTGGGGGTCCCCTAAACCCTAAACCCTAAACCCTAAACCCTAAACCCTAAACCCTAAACCCTGAACACTTTTTGGGGGCCCCCATATTTGCGTAAACCCCCACTCCCAAAGACTGGGACTCCGGCATCGCCGCAACTCGAGCACTCTGCTTCCTCCAGGCACTTGGGGGCGTCAGGGTGTCTAAGGGGGGGTTTAGGGTTTAGGGTTTAGGGCTTAGGGTTTTGGGTGTAGGGTTTAGGGTTTAGGGTTTAGGGTTTAGGGTTTAGGGTTTGGGGTTTAGGGTTTAGGGTTTAGGGTTTAGGGTTTGGGGTCTCGAGTTTAGGGTTTAGAGTGTTTTGTGGGTTTTGAGGGCCCTTGCGGTGGGGGTGGGGTGTGTGTGTGGGGTCGGGGGGGAGGGGAGGGGGAGGGCCTGTGCGTTGCCTCACACCACATGGTAGAGCCCTTGTGTCTCCAGGCGCACTAGAGAAGCAGATACCGCTAAAACCTTGAGCAGCGGGCAATATGCTTTAGTGACTGGACTGGCATGTACGCAGCGGCTGAATCTGCAGCTTAAACCATGGCCGTGAGTCGGCTTGCCCTTTACTGCTTTGCTCGGGCTAACATATGCCACAGCAAACTCAGCAGGAAGACTCTCGACTCTGCTGGAGGGAGGGAGGGGGGGGGAGGGGGGAGAAGGCGCCACCAAACTGCTGCCTTTCACACACAGATAGCACAGGCGCCGTCCTTGCACCGCCCGGCAGTGGCTGCTTGACACCAGCATCACCGACATCTTCCGGGCCTGCGCCGGATGCTTTCTTCGTCGGGCGCACGCAAGTCGGGCCCTGGCCTGCGCGCAGCTGGCCTGCTGGATCGGCTGTCGGAACCTTCACAACGTAGGGTTTAGGGTTTAGGGTTTAGGGTTTAGGGCTTAGGGCTTAGGGTTTAGGGTTTAGGGCTTAGGGCTTAGGGCTTAGGGTTTAGGGTTTAGGGTGGAGACTCCAAGTACCCAAGGAACGTGACGACAGCGCTGCTTGACAATGCAGGCAGTGGCGCACTCTTTTGCTTGGCGCTACGCACGGTAGTTACCAGCTCGGACTGCTTCTTCCACCTCCGTGGGGCTTGCTCCAAAGTCCTCAGCAGCGCGTGTCGTTCACAGCTGATCCCCTAAACCTTAAACCCTAAACCCTAAACCCTAAACCCTAAACCCTAAACCCTAGACCCTAAACCCCACCCTGTGTAACCCCCTGAACAAAGTGCAGCAGGGACGCAGCTGCATCTCTTGCGATGAATGCTGGTGTTTGGGAGTTCCAGGTGGCAGTGTCGCCAACACGAACTCCATGTTGCCCGCACCAACCTGCCGGGGACAGAGACCACTGGTGGGTTTAGGGTTTAGGGGAGCTCTAAACCCTAAACCCTCAAAACCCCAAAACCCTCAAAACCCTCAAAACCCTCAAAACCCTCAAAACCCTCAAAACCCTCAACACCCTCAAAAACCCTAAATAACCCTAAATAACCCTAAATAACCCAAAAACCCGAAGCCCTAAATAAACGCTTGGTTGCCGAACAAACGCGAAGGGCGGGCCTTGGGGCTATAGACCCTCTCAATAAAGATCCCTGCTGAAGAGAGCCAGAAGAGGGTTCAGAAGGGTTCCCTTTTAAGGGTCCCCCTAAACCCTAAACCCTAAACCCTAAACCCTAAACCCTAAACCCTAAACCCTAAACCCTTAACCCTTAACCCTTAAACCCTACACCCTAAGCCCTAAACCCCTTATCCTACCTAGGAAAGGCGGGCCTTGGGGCAACTCTATGGCCGAGCTGGCCGGCAGCTCGCTCGGCACGCTCTTCAAGGACAGGGGCATGGCTTGCCTTGGCACGAAGGCTTCCGAAAAGTCTAGGGTTCAGGGTTTAGGGTTTAGGGCTTAGGGCTTAGGGCTTAGGGCTTAGGGCTTAGGGCTTAGGGCTTAGGGCTTAGGGCTTAGGGCTTAGGGCTTCGGGCTTAGGGCTTAGGGCTTAGGGTGTAGGGTGTAGGGTTTAGGGTTTAGGGTTTAGGGTTTGGGTTTAGGGTTTAGGGCCCGCCAACCCTGGCGGCGTGTTGGATGGGTTTTTGGAGGTGAAGCATCTCTTTTTGCCTCCTTACACCCCCACAACGCGGGATGGCCCTGGACCGCTGAAACCTCGTAGGCCCCCGCAGTCGGATTTGGTAAACCCTACACCTGTTCTCTTGAGCCGGAGGCTCTTACATTTAGGGTTTAGGGATTAGGTCGTTTCCGGGGATGCTACTAGGAGGGCATGAGGGTATGAGGGAATGAGGGGTGCCCCATCATGTCGGCATCGCCCACAACCGTGACCACCCGGGTTATGTTCCTGCACCGTCTCCAGCGATGTGCTCGAACACCCCTACCCTAAACCCTAAACCCTAACCCTTAAACCCTAACCTCGGACCGGAACAAATTCAAAAGCCCTCGATATCCAAACATCAATCCCCATCCTCATGTTGAAGCCCCTCCATGCGGACGACCGGAAGCTGCGTTTTCCTACACTAAGCAGGCACATTGGCCCCGCACCAATCCCCATCCGATGCACATGGCATGCTGCCACGCAGCTTGATCGACACTATTCGGTGCTCGCTGTTGACATAGACAATGTCCAGTGGCACATAAGTGTTTTCCTGGCGGTTCAGAAGTCATCAGCCAGGCTGCACGAGGCAACACACAGCAAACCCTTAAAAGTTCTTGGAGCCTCTTTGAACTGAACATTGAGTCTTTTGGTCCGTTACGAATATAGATCAATTTCTGTGAATCACGTTCTAGAACCTGCCTAAAGCCAGCTTCCCTTGACTCAGTCAGAGAGAGAAACTGCGAAACTGTGCTCAAGTGCGCTCGGCTTTGGCATGGCTGGGTCACCAAGGTCTACTCACGGCACGCCAGCGCTCAACTGAGCACAACTGAATGGCTAAAATCATGAAACCCAACTTCAGTCACCGAACCTGACCTCTAAGTCCTAAAGCCCTAAAGAACGAAAGCCCTAAAGCCCCACAGCCCGAAAGCCCTAAAGCCCAAGCCCTAAAAGCCCTAAAAGCCCTGAACCCTAACACCCTACACCCTAAACCACCCCTGAGCTCACTGAGATCACGCGTCCATCCAGAAGCTGCGTTCTCCGTCTCGGTCCCATTGGAAGAGCATGGCAGTGCCATCGGGGAGCGCAGACCGGAACATGAGGCCCCGCCTTGGGTTGAGGGTTGAGGGTTGAGGGTTGAGGGTTAAGGGTTGAGGGTTGAGGGTTGAGGGTTGAGGGTTGAGGGTTGAGGGT